AAATCGAAGGCTATCAATTAGGAGAAAATGAAAACAATTTACCTTTCAATGGAAGTCTCAAATGCTCGCTAACCTTCATCAGACCTCCTTTGCATTCGCCGAATCTTCTCTGAGCTTTGCCAATTGGTCTTTGAATCTTCTTTGCCTTATCTAACCCTCAACCCTGCACCGATAAGCAAGTTTTCCTTTTCTTTTTCCTTTTTCCCCTTAACCTCAAGTTAGATCTCCCCGTATGCCCTAGTTTTCCCTTTTCCTTTGTGCCCTGTGCATGTGTTTTACATTATATTCACCTCTGTGTTTTTTTAAAAACAATTTCCACGTCCAGGTCACCTACCCATATAGTAAATGTTTTTTTTTTAAAAAAAGGGATTTCCAAGTCATAAGTCCACATAGCATGCCACATTAGCGAATTAAATGGTGTTAAAGACATATTAGCATCATAAAAACCATTAACACAAGCACCAAGTCCTTTTTAAATTAGAGGGACTAACGATTTTAAATGAAACAAACTTAAGGGACCAAAAGCTCCCATTTGAAGCTTCAGAGATCAAAAGCAAAATGAAGGCAAACTATGAAGAGCAATCATTGTATTAACCCTTTTTTTTTTGGGTTTTTTAGTTGATGTGTTCTCATATATTATTTGGTAAGTTATTTATATTCTGACTAACCGGGTTTGGGTTTAATGGAAGGGGTTAGTTCCTTCCAATATGACGAACTAAGATTCAAATTTCTACTAGGAGAGGTACTAATATTTAGTGCCCGATAATGCCTCAAATAAAATTGTTTCTAGTAGGAGGATACCTATTTTTTGCAAAAAAAAAAGTTATTTATATTCGTGGTTTAGAATTGTTGAGGTAATAATATGGTTTAGTTTTTCTTGGGATGTTTTTTCATGGTGATAGGTTGTGTGGCTCTTGGGTGAAGCAGGCTGGGGGTATGTTTTCTTTTTTGTTTTTTTTTCCTTTTTTTATTGTTTTTAGTTTTCTTTTTATATTCGTTTTTTTTAGAGTTATTGTAATTTTTTTATTGTTTATTTGCTTTGACTCTCTTGTGCTTTGTGTTCTAGATTTTGTTAGATTTCTTCTTGGTTATGATCCTTATGAGTTGATTGAATATGGTGATTCTTTTATTTCTTCTCTCGAATTATCTGTTTGTGATTATAGCTTTGTTCATTGTGTATTGGCATTTTTTTTTTGTCTCGTGACGAAATGGCTAAATTGCTTCATTTTTTGGTAATATTTTTTCCCTTTTTTTTTGAAGTTGTTTTTGTCTTAACGTTTTGTATGTTTAAATTGGTGATTTGTTGATTTTTTTTCCTTACTCAGGACGTACAGTTATACGGTTCTTTCGGAAGTTCACAGAAGTTTTCTTTGATTTCTGGCATCATGCTCTTGTCATTGTTCCAGTGAATTTGTTGGCAGCGGAGTTTCACATGGATTTTGATTATATTGAGTTTTCTATTTTTTTCCATTAATACTTAATACTACTTCTGATTCTTAATATAAGAGCTAATTTAATTTTTAATTTAATTCTAAATATAAGACCTCAATCTAGTTTGTATCTTATATTTATTTATTTTTTTACAAAATAATACTTACAGTAGTTGCACATGTTAAAAATTTCATCAAACGGTGGTTCTAGTTAATATACATAATTAACGAGAGTATTTTATTGAAAACAATACCTATTTATTTCAAATAACTAACTTAACAAACTTTCTTAATTTAATCCAATTAATCAACTAACTCTTATACTACTTTTGATCTTTAATATAAGAGCTAGTTGACTAATTTGAGTATATTAAGAAAATTGATTAAATTAGTCATTTGTAATAAATATATGTTGATAAATATATGTTGTCTTTTCTAAAATATCCTTGTTAATTAAATATATTGGTTATAACTATCATTACTATAAATACTATATTAAAAAAATAAATAAATGTACAAAATAAAATAAATTAAAATCTTATATTTAGAATCAAAATAAAAATTAAATAAGTTTGGAGGAGATATCATTAACGATAGGAGGCAGCACTTGGCTAGCCATAAATGTCGCTATTGAGTATCAATGAAATGTCTGTTTTCTTTTGCTTTTTTTTTTTTTCATTTGGTTTTGGTTATTTGTTTTTTTTAATTTTATTACTGATACCGATGGATACAAATACTTGCTACTTGGCCAGCAGTGAATAGTTAGTCTTTTTTATTATTGTGCTAGTTTAATTAATAATCAATAAATCTAAGGATAATTATTATTAATAACTATTTTCTCCTACAATATAATTTTACTTCATAATAGGCCAATTAATTAATACTCCCTTTGGTTTTATTTAAGTTTTAAATAACCAAATCATGGACAATTAATTATTAGTTAAAATTAGTTAAAAGCAATAAATAAATTAGAAATATTTTTTTTTAAATGCACTCTTGTAATGAATGAGAAAAATAAAGAGAATGTATAGGAAAATGTGGTAAGTAAGAGTATGGCAAATGAGAGAAAATAAATAATTAAAAACAAAATTAAAAAAATACATTAAATGTTGACATAGACCTCAAATTGAAGCTTATAAAATAAATCACATTCTTTTTTAAATTGAAAGCTTATAAATAGAAGTGGAATGAGTATAACATGATATTCTCAAAGGTTTTATTGATCAATTGATCACACCCAATAAATATATAGAATTGAATATGCAAGAAACAAAGGAGTGAAACAATTCAATGAACCACATAAAAAGATGAAGACAGCCACTAGTAGGGGTTGGGTCTAATAAAAAGAGCTAGTCTCTCACAACATGATGAACTAAGATTTAAATCTCCACTGAGAGCAGTACCTATATTTAGTGTCTGATAATGTAATTGTCTTCAATAAAAAAATGAAAAAAATCACAAATAAAGACCCTAAAATATACAAAATTACGATTTAGGTCCTTGAATTTATATAATTCTTGTCAGACACCCGGTCCCAAATAAAAATTATGAAATGGTAGTTAAAAGATGAAAATACCCTTCGACTTTTGTCCGATTCTGTGCCCACATGCCTCAACTTTATTTTTCTTCACTATCCGAGTTGTCTCCCTCTTCCTTTCTTACGGTGACAACGAGGGATTTGAAAGAATAAGGATGTAGATGTTGGTTTTTCTACTGGCAAAGGGCCTAGAAAGCTTGAGAGTGGGATGATAGAGTGAGTCAGAATAAGCCCCCTCCCTATCCTAGAGCTTCAGAATCTAAAAGAATGGAAGTGAGGAGTTCAATGAAATATGCGTGTGGAGATGATTGATTGGGTGGGGGCTGTGTCTTGGTAAAACGTGGGGGGCTAATGGATTGCCGCTACCAGCACTGTTAAACATAACTACACTCGTTGGGTGTCTTCTTTGTAGTAGCAAGAGTATATCCCATTATTGTTAATTCATTTTCTTTCCCTTTCTCGGACCCAAATATTACAGAAAAGAAAGTATCTTCATACTTTATCTGAATTTTTTTTTGCAATGATATGTTTTGATTGAAGTAAAAAGAGCTGAGAGCTTTTGTTTGTAGACAAATACTAAATCTTGCAGAAATTGGTTGCTGTCAAAATACCTCTGGTTTTTTGTTATTTGACTTACTATTGTTGTAATTTTACTTAGTAGCATTGTAACTACAGCTTGGTTAGTTTGATCAAGCAACATGGCATGACAATTTAAAAATATTGATATTTTGTTTATTGGCAGAGCAATGTTAACATTTAGTATTTATAACTGTAAATGGTACCAACGTAGCTCCATTTAATGTTCTGAAATTCATGACAAACCCCTTCGCAAATTTATAATTTCACTTATCACAGTTGTTATTTGACCTTCCACTCTTGTCAATTGATTTTCATAACTTGTTATTCACCCTTGCTATAAGAGAAAAAGGGATGATTTGACTGGGCAATAATTGAACACTGCACAAAGAAGACAGCTCATTGAAAAGATTTATACCTGCCTACATTAATGCATATCCAGATACACTTGTAACAGTTCACCGACTCTTGAACCATTTTAAAATTACGAACCAAGATCTTCGATTTCGAAAATTTTACTGTGGTTCAGTTATTGATAATTTTCATATTTTCTATGCAAATATTCATGAAAGCGGTTCAATTTCTAGAAATATACTACCTCCGGTTCTCAATATATAATTGGTTGACTAAATTAAATAAATTAAAAAATTAGTTATTAGTTATTTATAATAAATAGATATTATTTTTTTAAAATATTTTTACTAATTAAATATATTAGTTATAACTATTATTATAAAAATTATTTTAAAAAAATAACTAAATATAATACACAAAATAAATTTAGATTTTATATTTCAAATTAAAATAAAAATTAAATAAGTTCTTATATTAGTAAGGCAGGCGGCATCTATTTCTGAGGGGGTGTTTGACAACCTCCAAACTATGGTTTCAGAAGTACTTTTTCACAAAACGAGGTAAATTTCTCTACATATTTACTTCATAAACCATAAAAGCACTTCTAAAATTATAGTTTAGTTTCTATCCAAGCACTTCCTGAGTTAGAAAGGAAAAGACGCTGGAATCTATGTGCGCGAGTTTTGAGTAGGGTGATGTATCAGGTCAGGCCAATTGTTGAATGAATTTATTTAATACAATTGAATAATAGGCTAAGTTAAACGGATCAATTTAATATCAGGCCAGAAAAGAACTTAGATAAACCGGTTACCTTTTTTATTTTTTCGTCATCAAATGAACAATAAAATTTAGAACTCGGCACATCTTATCAAATTAATGTTTATTTTGATTCTGCTAAAAAAAAAATTGATGTCTATGTTGATGTTCCAGTGTTTCATATTTGAATATCATGACTAAGGGAGTGTTTGAGTTGCAATCAAACCACGGTTTTAAAAATGATTTTACGGTTTATGAAATAAATATATAAAAGAATTTATCTCGATTTGTGAAGAAGCACTTCTGAGTGTTTCCAAACACCCCAGACTATTATTTTTCCCTTGTCCTATCCCTTTGACCCTCTTAGCGACTCGCTCCTCTCTCCCCAGCTCTCAATTCAGTTCAAGCTTTCGATTGCGCACTCCGTATCTCGTCCGTCATCTACTCACCTCAGGTCGGGAACACATCAACGCAAGTCCACACTAAATCTCGTCCATCTATCTCGTCCGTCTCTCCTCCTTAATTCTTTCTCAGTCTCACCGCGCCACTCGTTTCATATGCTCTCTCTGTCTCTCTTCGATTTCATCTCAGGTTGTATTTCTTTCTGTTTTTCTATTTTTTTTAATAAGTTTTGGTGCTGATAGTTAATTATATGGATGACAATAATAAATTAGTTTTGAAGCTTGAGGTAAAAATTGAAAGGTAGTAGAATGTAATCGTTGGGGTGAGCATAAAGTTCTTGTTTTGAGTCAAAGTCAGGAACTTTTCTTGCAAATAAGTGGAATAAGGCTTGTGAATTACAGCTGATACTATAGGCCTCCGTCGCAATTGATGTTCGATTTTTCTCTTTTGAGTCAGAGTTAGGAACTTTCGTATTTAATTGTGTATATAAAGGTTGTTGTTTGCTGGAACTACTGCGCCTTCATTGTTATTGATGGTTCATTAAGAAATTAACTGACTGATATTTCTTTTATATACTATATATGAAGTTTGAGTTCAAGTTGTTTAGCTCATATATATATATATATATGTATATATGTATATGTATATGTATATGAAAGTCAGAATATGTTGGGGAAGACAGAAAATGAATAAAATAAACAAACTATAAAATTCTGCTTTGACCTTTTTTGGCTTATAAATAGATGAAATCAACCCCAGCAGCTGATTTGTTGTGTCTTCTTTTTCAATATCTTTTTGGTCTTTGGCAGATTCTGTTGTGAATCAATTGTATCAACTGGTTTGTTATGAGTTGTGCTCACCTAAAATGATTTGCACATTATCATATCTTGTTTAAATAAAATTATCATAAAAATATTATTAGAATTTATAAAACAAGATGAAAAGAAAATAAAAAATTGATTAACACTGTGTAACTTTGCATATTAATTATATCTTTTTCATTTTATTGAAGTTAGCCTATGACCTAAATCCTAATGCAAGAGGCTAATCATCCCATTTTAAGCCCAAATAAACCCTAACTCCTTTAACTCTTCTTCTTCCATTGCCCTTCTAATCTTCACTGCCTCACTGTTGTCTCTGAACGTCTCCCTCACTTTTGACTTGATTGCGTTTGGTTTTCTCTGTGGATGCTGCTCTTGGTACCATTGCCGAAATTCCTCTATTCGTTGGTTTTTTTTTCTTCCCACCGCTGGCTAAAAATAGCCGAATTAACCGATATTTGTTTATGAGTCTAATGTTGTTCTTATTGTATTAAAGCAGGCTCTTGTTAAATGTCATACCTAAAGAGGTCTTGGAGTTATCCTCTTCTTCCTCTTGACCAAGAAGAACACGAACGCTTCAACATTCCTTGCGATGAGGTCACTTTCAAATTCCTATTTGGTCTTTTTTAATGATTCATGATAGCGTTTTGACCTTTAATTTCCATTTCTTTTCCTAGATAAGTTCTTGGTCCTCCCACCAGAGTGCCAGAGTGACTCCCAAGTACAAGGGCACAGTCAACACCGATGCAATAGATTTTGTTGAGATTGCATTTGAAAAACTCATCAAACTCAGGCTGTCTTCCAAGCTGGAAGGTTATGCAGCAACATTCATAATCTATAATAAAGATTTTCGAAAGTTTTTCATATTAATTAGACGCAAACAGGACGTCATTAAATTTCTAAAAAATTACAGCAGAAGACAATTCCTCAAACTCCTCAAAGATCTCAAGAGGACAAAGAGAAATAGCAGAAGAAAGAAGAGGGCAAAGACTACTAATATTTGTTCTAAAAGAAGGGTTTAGCCCTGATAAGGTAGATGATAGTATTTTTTAGTAAACTGTATTGATGTTTTGATGGCCAGGCATCGTTGTGCTCTAAACTCCAATGTGTTGTGGTGACGCTTTTGTTTTCATGCGCTAGATCCTGATGTGATATAAATCTATAATCTATCTATAAGATCTTCTAGATGTTGTAGTAGCCTATTGATTCTACCAGTTTTAGTTATTTTCTTGTATATGTTTGGATTATTTTCTATGTTTGGAATATTAAGTTTCATCTAGGAAACCTTGTGATACTTCATAAGCGTGTTTCTTCCCATATGTTTCGTGAGGCAAAAAAAGACCAAGAGTCGAGAGAATTTTTATATGGGAGAAAAAAAGAATGAAGAGGAAAAACTGAAAAGTCAAGGGAATTTTTATATGAGAGAAATTGTATTTTCAGAATACAGTTATAAATTTCTGTCCAAAATAGAATACATAGCTATAAATAATTATTTTTTAGGAGATGGGGAAAATGAAATTTTATTTAGATTTGAGAAGAGAAGTATTTTTTATTAAATTTATATGAAATTCAACTTTTTTTTTTTTGCCAAAGAGATATTTTTATTACTAAAAAAAACTTAACAGCATACTCAAAAGAAACATAGAACAAATACTTAAAAAAACATTAAGGCTGTTAACAAAACAAGGGACTCAACAAAAAAAAAAACATACAGACCCCTAGAAAAACTTACAGACTAAAAAAGAAGCAAATACAAGCAAAACAAAAGACCACAAAAAGACAACAAAGGCTCAAACTAGACTAGCCAACACCTCTTCGTATAGCAGTAGGACTATTAACACTAGGAGGAGCACAATTAGAATCTGTAACATTAGACATCTGACCAAGTGAACTTGACACCAAATTCCTGCAACCATTCATATCACTTAATAAAATTTCATCCATGAAATTCAAGTTATTAGTGGAGTCACATACACCTATAATTAAACAACTTATATATTTTGCTTTCATCTAATGATATAATAATCTAATCAGTAAATAAATAAAAAACAAAAAAGATCGAGATGGATATTTTTCTCATTCTTTTTTATATCATAGCACAAGAAAGAAAAACTTACGTATTTAGATGTTTTTAGGAATTAATATAGAATGAAATTAGAAAATTTTCTATTTCAATATTTTTCTTTCCTTTTTTATTTATTCTTTAAATCATTGATGTGATATTAGAATATGATGTCAATGAGATGGTGGTGCTCAAATAAAATGAGTTGAAATTCTTTTCTTTTTCTGAATTAATATACGATGAAATGGGAGAAAATCTATGTTAATTTTTTAAGAAACGTCTATTGAATGTACACTTTTGGATGAAAATAGTGGAGTAACTATTTTGATATGTTATGTTATGAATTAGCATAGTGTGAAACCGAAAAAACAGCTATTCAAATCCTTTTGCTTCTCACGTCACTGGCTTGTTAAGAAGAATTTGGTGGTTTTATTATTTATTCTTCTCTATGTTGATTATTTGTTTCTGGTATGATTTTAAGAAAATCTTAAGGTTCTGTTTCTTTTTTTTTTTTGTCCATTGAGTTGGATTCTATCAATCATCCGGGGGGGGGGGTTTAGTTTTCCGTCGGATGTTTTTTCATGGTGACATGTTGTGTGGCTCTTGGGTGTAGCAGGCTAGGGGTCCCTTTTTTTTTAAATTGTTTTTAGTTTTCTCTTTATATGCCGCTTTTTTTTTTATTTGCAGCTATTGTAATTTTTGATTGTTTACTTGTTCTGACTCTCACGTGCTTTGTGATCTAGACGTTGTTGGATTTCTTCTTGGTTATGGTCCTTATGAGTTGGTTGAGCATGGTGATTCCTTTATTTCTTCTCTTGAATTATCTGTTTGTGATTATAAGTTTGTTTATTGTGTATTGGTGTATTTTTTGTGGTCTTGTGGCGAAATGATGAATTGCTTTATTTTGTTGATGTTTTTTTCCCTCTCAGGATGTACATTTATGCGGTCCTTTGGGAAGTTCACGGAAGTTTTCTTTGATTTCTGGCATCACGCTGGTCATTGTTCCAGTGATTTTGCCGGCGGTGGAATTTCACATGCATTTTGTTATATTGATTTTTCATATTTTTTTCATTAATATTTAATATTACTTCTGATTCTTAATATAAGAACTAATTTGATTTTTAATTTGGTCCTAAATATAAAACCCCAATTTACTTTATCTTTCATATTTATTCATTTTTTATTCAATTCTTTTTTAAAGTAGTACTTGTAATAATTGTATATATTAAATATTTCATTAAATGATCGTTGTAGTTAATATATATGATTATCAAGAGTATTTTAAAGAAAATAAGACTTATTTATTTCAAATAGTTAACTTAACAAACTTTTTAAATCTATTCTAATTAATCAACTAATTCTTATATTAAGAATATGAAGATAATACTTGGCTAGCCATAAATGTCGCTATTGATTATTAATGAAATGTCTGTGCATTGTTTTCTTTTTTATTCATTTAGGATTTGTTATTTATTTTTTTAATTTTATTACTGATTAATACTATTCTGATCCTATTTGTAAGGCACTTTCAACATATTTTACGTAGATCAAGAAAAACCTTAAATTGCATTAACTCTTCATGAAAATAAAACAACTTTCCAACTTTACCCTTATTTAATATATACACTTTAAAAAAAATAACTATATACACTATAATAGATGAAGGACAATATAGTACATTCACGGTAAAAATTAATGAAGTGACTTATAAATATGACTAAAAGAGACCTTCTCTCTGCCCTATAAATAGGATTAGATGATTACTTGCTAGTTGGCTAGCCATGAATAGTTAGTCTTTTTGATTATTATGCTAGTTTAATTAATAATCAATTAATCACGTTTAGTAAAGTTAATAAAACATTGTTAATTTTATTTTTTGTTTGGCTGCGAATTTTTTTGGCTGAGAATAATTATTATTAATAACTATTTTCTCCTACAATATAATTTTACTTCATAAGAGGCTAATTAATTAATACTCCTTTTGGTTTCATTATGAGCTTCAAATAAATAATTCACAAATGATGAATTATCAGTTAAAATTAGTTAAAAGTAATAAATAAATTAGAAATATACTTTTGCTTTCAAATATAATTTTATAATAAATAAGAAAAATGAATTAAGATAATGTATAGAAAAATGTGATAAGTAAGAGTATGACATATGGGAAAGAATAAATAATTAAGAGTGAAATTTATAAAAATACATTAAATACTAAAACATATCTAAATTGAAGCTTATAAAACATATCACTCTTCTTTTTTAAATTGGGAGCTTATAAAGGTTTCATTGATCAATTGACCACACAAGAACAAATGGAGTGAAACAATTCAATGAACCACATAAAAAGATGAAGATAGCCATGTTTGCGAATCAATTACATGTGGCATGTCTGCATGACATTTGTGTTATCGAAGTCTTGTTTATTCACTGGCTAAGAGTTAATACTGGCGAGAATAAAATTATATTCCAGCTTGAAAAAAAAAAAGAGGGCGAATTTATTGCCTTGGAAAGAGAAAGACTTGGTGACCAATTAATGTCTTAAAGTAATTATAATTAAAACCAAATCGAGTGAGCGGATTATCTCAAAAAAATTTAATTTCTTAATATATGATGTAATTGAAAAGTAGATATTAATCCTATATATAAGATTTATTTCATATGTTTATTAATTTTATTTTCAAATTAATTTTATTGGTATTTCCTCAACAATAATCAAGTAAAAGAGAAAGAGAGAAAATTGAGAAAAATATTTGTATTTTTTTTTAAAAAATCAGATTAACTAATTTAACTAATAATATTAATTTATTTAAATTAATTAATTAAATTTTGTATTAAAAACTGAAGAATAGCATTTAAACAAAATTGATGGTTACTGACTATTTAGGATGTAGACTCGGGCCTCGTGAGAGGATATAAGCTGGGGTTCAAGTCCTACGTAGAACTGGAGGACGTAAGCTCGGGCTCGGGGCCATAAGACGCGTGATCTGATTCCCCCCCCCCCCCCCCCCCCGGCAAAAAAAAAAAAAAAAACAACTGCGCAAAGAACATACAGCTCATTGAAAAGATTTATACCGGCCAATATTAATGCATATTCACCGAGTCTTGAACAATTTTAAAATTACGAACCAAGCTCTTTGATTTCCGTTAATTTTACTGTCTCAGATATTGATATTTTTCACATTTTCTATACAAATATTCATGAAAACGGTTCAATTTCTAGAAATATACTACTTCTGATCCTATATATATATATATATATATGAGTTAGTTGATTAATTTGAGTAGATTAAAAAATTAGTTATGTTAGTTATTTGTAATAAATAGATGTTTTTTGTAAAAAAATATCCTTACGAATTAAGTGCATTGAATAGAATTATAATTATTATAAGAATTATCTAAAAAATAAATAATATAATAAACTAAATAGATTAGGGTTTTATATTTAGAACTAAAATAAAAATTAAATAAATTTTTATATTAAGGACCGGGAAATAGTATTTTTATGATCTGGATTAAAGTTTTATACTAGGGCCTTATAAATTTAAGCAGTTAACTGTACGTGGACAAAATTTAATAAAGAGGTTAAAAATTAATAAGGCAAGAGGACGGTATTAAACTTCTGGATTGGAAAGGAAAGGACGCTGGAATTTATGGCCGTCAGTTTTGAGTGGGGTGTTTTGACCAAAAAAAACAGAGAGAGAAGTTTTGAGTGGCGTGATGTATCAGGTCAGACCAAGTTGAATTGATGAATTAATTTAGTATAAATGAATATTAGGCCAGAAAAGAACTTAAATAAGCAGTTACGTCTTTTTTTGGTTATCAAATTAAAGAGACTAATTCCAACCTATCAAATTAATGTTTATGTTGATGTTCCAGTTTTTCATATTTGAATCTTATGATTAGAACCTGAGACTGAAGTTTGTTGATATAATCGAGCATTGAGACTGGAGTTTCATGACTTTAAAAATTCATCTCTTTTTTATAATTGTGCATTGTCTCAATAAATTACTCTTTCAATCCTTAACATAAAACCTATTTAATTAATTTGATTAAATTAAAAAACTAAGTAAGTTAGTTAATTATAAGAGATATGCCAATTTTTTTTTCTAAAACACTATAATTATTTTTTTAATATCCTCCCTATCTTACTTGATTATAATTAAGAGAGTAATTATAGAAGTAATTTAAGAAAAACTAATAAATATAAGAAATCAACTTGATAATTAGACCCTACATTAAA